GCACCAGTTCTTCAAACATCCTTACTCTGCCCTAACTTTCTGAGACCCCTGTCCCTAGCATGCTGGCGAAGTGGGTGTGAGACCGATGCACGGCGCCTGAGCCTCTCCTCTCTCTCCTGTGTTAGCTGGGGTGGTGGTCACACAGCTGACTGCTGTCGCGCCCTCCCCCGTCCCTTCCCTGTCTTCTCCCTTGGTAGGGTCTGGATGGTTTGTCTCAGCGTCCTCCCACCAGCGCGGGTGGGTTACCTCGGGCTTGGTCTCCAGGCTGCTCGGTCAGGAGGACAGGCTCAGGGGTCAGCAAGGCCTCTGTCCTCCGCTTCCTCCTCTCCAGACGCTGCTGCTGCCTCTTTGAAGAAGGGAAACCACGGGCCAAGACAGGGAGCGATCTGGGCCCGTTACTGACACCTCCAACTCGTCACACCCAAGCAACCGTGATTAACACGGCTGGTCCTACAGAACACCTCCCTGGCTTCAGCCCCCCCTGTTTTTTGTGGAGAGACACCCCTAAAAGCAGCAGCTGGCAGAGTTGACTGACAATGTCTGTCACAGCTGGTGAATAGCAATCACCAGCATCAATCCGGCAGAGTCAACCGAAGGCGGCTTACACACGAGGGGCAAAGAGTTATGGCTGGCAGTGGCCGAGGCCAGCGATCGGCAGAGCTGACCAGCTCCAGGAGGGCTGTAGTCTCCTTCCCTCGTGCCGATGCATGATGTCTTTCTGAGTTGAGCAAAGGAATCCGCAGCTGAGTGACGATGGTGACATCCCAGGATATCTGAGGTTCTGCTCATTTTTCTTGATTATTTTTTTCCTCAGATTGGATAATGTCAACTGTCCAAGTTTCAAGTTCCCTAATTCTTTCTCCAGCCTGCTGAAACCAGCTGTTGGACTCCCCTAGTGAGGTCTGAGATTGTTATTTTACTTTTTTGGTCCTTTAAGAGAATAATTTCTGGTCCTTATTGCTGTTCCCTGCTCAGCGATAATCCCTGTCGCCCTCTCCCTTGGCTCCTGTGACGTGGTTTTCTTTAGTGATTGAGCATACTTTAAACAGCTACTTAGTCTTTAAGTCTAGCGTCATTGTCTCCTGAGGAGCAGGAGCGCTGACTGACACTTCGCTATCTTTACGAACCGTACTTTCTGTCGCTTTTCGTATCTCAGGTTCTCTTTGTTGCTGTTGAACGCTGGAGTTTTAAACGCAGGATGGGGCACCCCAGGACCCCACATTCCCGTTGCTGTCTGCCTAACGGTTACCACTTGTTTGCTGGGCTGCTCTCCCGCACCATCTTCCGAGTCTTGGTTATGTGCGCTCACTAAGTGATGCTCAGTCAGCCCTGTGGTGACACAGAGCTATCTCCAAATGGTTAGAATGACCAGGCCTCGGAGTCTCCGCTGCGGGGTGGCATGTGATAGGAGGCCACCAGCCGGGTGGCGGACACCTGGGCCTAGAGCCGGGTTCTGTGTTTGCTGGCCGTGTGCACCTCTCTGTGCACACATAGCTGGGCCCCATCACCTGCTTTCGTAGACTCTTTGAGATACTCACGCACCGCTCAGAGGCTCTGCAGGTTTCACTACCTCGTTGCTGCTCCCCAAGTTTTCCTGATTAGTCTGCTGTAACCCCTGGGGTTCTTAGTGCCTCGGGCAGCTGCGGTGTTAAATACTGCTGTTGCCTGTTTGCATTGGGAGAGGTCTGAATGAGGAAATTCAAAGCAATTCTTGAGGAGGATCTCCAGGGAGGTCCCATGGTGACGGTTCTCGGAGATGGAGTTTAGCAGACCTATAACTGTGTTCTGTCCTGCACAGTACCCACGGGGCTGCTGGCTTCAGCACTGCCTTTGCGGAGGAGAGGATTTGGGAAGTCTCTTACGCTGGCATTCCCGTGACCTCACTCCTGATTTTCTTTTTTTTGGGAAAATAACTTATTTATTGAGAACCTTGCATTATTTGACCAGCAGAGTTTCTTGTGTGGATTTTGCAATTACCATTTAAGATACCCCTTGGCAGGAAGTGCGTTCCATTCGCAGACGGTACAATGTTTGAATTTTGAGGTGCTCTCAGTCTGTTTTCTGTTACTATAATAAAATACCCAAATTTGAACAAGTTAGATACAAAAAAGGTTTATTTTAGCCTGTGGCTCTGAAGGACCAAGAGCAGGACAGTGGGGTTTGCTTGTTTGACTTCTGGCGAGAGACTCAAGCAGAAAATAGGAAGGCAGATGGGCACATGAGGACGGAGACAGGTAACAGCATACACACCTGTGCGAACTGACCCATTCTCCTGAGAATTAGTCCAGTCTCGTGAGAAAGATATTAATCCTTCCCAAGGCCCCGCCTCCAACACTGCTACATCAGCAGCCAAGTTTCAGCATGAGTTTTGGCAGACAAGAAATAGACGCACACCACAGCAGGGGCCAGAGCTATAATGCAGTTTACTATTTTTTGAGCAGGGTGCAAAAATGTATTTAAAAACCAGAAATGGGGACAAAAATATGTTCCACCAATCCTAGGCTCTCTTAGTTGGCTATTAGATAAGAAAAGCCCAGTAAGTTGATTTGTTGAACTTAAAGATTTTAGGATCCAAAATATTTGTAACTATAATAGCCTTAGGAATATTCTAGTACCGTATATTAATTACCTGTGAATGCTGTTAGTATCCATAATAATTGCAAAAGCTACTATTTAAATAGTATCTATTTTATGCTAAGCACTATTCTGATCTATTGTATGTATTATATATTTTTCATTTGCCTGTACCCAGTCTACCATAAATTGCTGATATACATACACACACATATTTTGCCCTCTTATGCATATATATTTGAAAATGTTGGCCAGTGTGTACAATAATTTCTAAGTCCTCAATTTTATTCTCTTTTTTTCAAACACGCATAAAAATTTGTGATGCCCATGATGATATTCTGCTCTATTACAGCCACGGAAGAGATGATTTTTGACTGTTTCTGTTACTGAGGAAGCAGGCATAGCCACTCTGTGCAGGCGTGTGTGTGTGTGTGTGTGTGTGTGTGTGTGTCAGGTGGTACCACAGGATGGCACCTGACATGTGTGTACACGTGTGTGTGTATGTGTTATATACACGTTCAAATACACTAGTTCATACTACTCAGTTTTCCAGGGTGGTTGATTGATCCAACTTATGGGTATTTTTTGTGCAAACTTAAATTAATGTTTCTCTGTATAAAAATATAGCAGTGCTGTCGCTGGGTCATGTGGTAATTGTGCATTTAATTTAGTAAGACACTGCCAAATGTTTCCCGTGGTGGCTGCTCCATTTCACGTTGTCACCAGCATTTGGGGTTGTCACAAATTTTTACTTCCGAAATTCTGATTGTTACGGCTTGCTATGCCACTGGGGCTTCAACGTGCCTTTCCCTAATGTCTGGCGATGCGTGGCTTTCTTTTCGGAGGACTATTTGTAATCCGTATAATATCATTGTGAAATATGCTTGTATCATTTTCTAATTAAACTGCTTATTGATGAGCTTTGAAACAGTTAATATATTCTATTTTGTAGAATAGACAACTATCTCTAGAATAGAAAAATATATTTAAGCATGCAATATATTCTAATGTGCAATGTAATCTAAACATACCATTACCATATGACCCATTTTTTTCTTTAAAATTTAGAGTTTTGGGTTCTCCATTAACGTGAAATCTGTGCTCCACTTGGACGTAGATTGGTGTCAGTGTGAGGCTTAGGCTGAGTCCGGCACCCTTGGAAAGGTGTCCCTCCCTCCCTGTTGATTAATTATATAGAAACTGTGGTCTTAGCTCACCCGCCTAGAAGACTTTCAATACATTTTTTCTTCCCGTCTTAGTGGGATCAGGACACCCTCACATTCTGTATTTCCCACTGGAACTGCGAGACTTTTCTGCCTGAGAATCCGTCTTGTCAATCTTGCTTATTTTTACTTTCTAGCCTTTCATGGTGATTATAAAAGTGAGAACAGTGTGGCCGGCTGGGAAAGCTCAGCCCACAAGCCTCAAGCAAAGTTTACAAAGAGGAAGAGGAGGAGGAAAAAAAAAAGAAAGAAAGAAATAGCCTGGAGCTGAGCGTCCAGTCCGTGACTTTTAGGAACAGTTTAACTGATACGCAGTAACACGCATGTGTGTGGCACAGTGTGGTTTGTGGGTGCTCGCAGACCAGGTGTGGTTCCAAATCAGGGACTGCAGCACACCTGTCACCTGGAACGTCACCTGGTTACCCACCTGTGATCGTGCATGGGTCCCTGTGACACATGGCAGCTCGGGTCAGGCATCCCGAGGGCCTTGGTGGCTCGGGTAGAGAGGGAAGGCCCAGCTGGTTTGTGTCTCTCTTTCTAAGGCCCAAAGCAGCTGGTGAGTGCAGAGCTCGGCTCGGCACCGGTGGAGAGATGGGGGGCCGCAGCGGGCTCCCCAGCCCGCCCCAGCACAGCGCATCCGCCCTCCTGTGCTCTGGCTGCAGAAAAAGCTCAGTGATACTGATTAGAAGAAGCTGGTCGGCCTCTTCCTGCTGCCGCCAGCTCCTGAGGCTCTGAGATCAGTGGGGGGCAGTTTTGTGGGGTAGACACGGACGCTGCTTGGAAGAGAGAGAAGCAAGGCCATGCTTCCGCCCTCCGCCCCCTGCCTCTGTGGTGCGTCCTCCCTGGGCCGCCTATTCCAGCTCCTGGACACTCACTGGCCCCATGGGCAGCCGCTGAAGATGAAGAAGGCCACTGTGTTTTGGGGGAGCTCCTGCTGCGCTCCCTGATCACTCATTTGAGTTTTGTCTGCCCTTCACCGGAAGGTGATTTATCTGTTTATTTGCTCATTCCCAGGAAACCTATCACTTCCCTGCAAACCCTCTAGCAGATGCTGAGCTCATGTCCCCTGTGTGTCCCTCTCTGGGGACACAGGTGATGACGTGCAGCCCTGTGCACTGTGGATGGTTGGAGTGGTATGTGCTGGCCCAACCGTGTGTCCACACAGGGACAGTACAGGGCTCTTCCATGCGTGTGTCCTTGCAGGCAGCAGCCAGGCCTCAGTGACGCTGGCCAGCGCCCTGCAAGTCAGGGGCGAGGCGCTATCAGAGGAGGAAATCTGGTCCCTCTTGTCACTGGCTGGGGAGAGGCTCCTGGAAGACCTCCGCCACGGTAAGAGAGCCTGTGGACAGCGGGGTCCGTTCTTCTGAGGGTCAGTCTGGCTGCTGCTTCTCCCCTGTGGTTGGTGCTGGGGTTAGAACCAGTGGGCGAGGGAATCCCCAGGGGCTGCCCTGTCGGTGGGACCTGGCCACATGGCTGAAAAGCCTGCTTTGGATCATGTGTGCTCAGAGAGAGACCCAGGCCTTGTGGGCCCTCTGACAGCTGCGCTATCTGGGCATCATGGAGACGGAGGCAGGGGACAGTCACCAGGGACACTCTACATCTGTCTGCCAGATGCTGGGCTCATCTGTGCCCTATCAAAGAGAAACCCAGGGGAGGTCCGTGTAATTATTAAACTGTCATATAAGACAAACAAGATGATACGGCAAAAGTCCGCCTGGTCCCCAGCGAGGGACAGGCACTGGACGGGAGCCCTTCCGGGTGGGTGTCTGGAGGTGATTGTGCAGATGGAGTGTGCGTGGGGGATCTCCGTCCCCTGTGAGCTGGGCAGTGCGGGCAGCAGAGCTGTGCAGACAGGGTTGTGCGCTCTGGGCCCCGGGGACCTTAAAGGAGCCAGGGTCGGAGATGGCTTTGTACCCCAGAAGCATTAAATTCGTGGCTGTAACTAACACTGCGAGCCCACACCCAGGCACGGGCTTGTCAGTCCCGCAGGGGCAGCAGCTCAGCGCGTGCAGAGGCGCCAGTGTGTGACCTCACCAAAGCCATCAGGGTCCCCTCGGGGCTGGTGACAGGCCATGCACCTGCGCCACGGTCCTCACCTTCTCCCCGTCCCTGCCTGGGAGCCTCTGTGAAGGGCGACCGAGCTCCCAGGCCTGCAGCCTGGGGTCCTGGTCCGGCTGCACAGAACTCAGGCCTGGGCCAGTTTCCAAGTGGTCTCCAGGCCCTCAGCCTCCGATGAGCGCAGGGTCTAAATTCCGGCGGTGGCCACAGGGGCCTGTGGTCATCTCTGCCCCCACGCCTCGGGGAAGACGCCCTCTTCTCCGTGTCCCTCCCGCCGAGCACGCAGTCAGACCCCCTCCAGCTGCATCACCGCCTTGGTTGCAGACTCCTGCGCCTATGTGGTCTGCCCCTGGTCCACCCTTCTTTCTGCGGCCGGAAGTCTCTCTTTCCAGGACCACGTTTCTCACTTAGAGGCTGCTCCTTTCAAGGCCCCAGAACTGCTGCAGGGCCAGAGTGAGGACGATCATCCAGACACATCCCAGGTAAGAGGGGGTGCTGGGCAGAAAGGGGACCCCAGTGCTCGCCTGCTGCAGGTCCCCTGCTCACCTTGGAGGCAGAGTGGGTACTGCTCTCAGCTCTGGTGGGTCGTGTTCACCGAGGCCGGGTTTCCACACCTGCAGAGGGGCAGTTGGTCGGGCTGTTACCCGCATGTGAACCAAAGCCACGGGAAGCTGGGCGCAGCAGCCTGCGTGTTGGTACCATTGAGGCACGGAGCAAGAGCTCCAAGGACCCAGTGGGCCCTGCGCTAGGCGGGTGCCCCAGGCATGGTGAGGACTCAGCTAGCAGCAGCAAGACTGCGTTGTGTTGTTGGCACTCGTCATGAACTGGAACCAAGATAGTTGCTCAGTTGAAGACAGCATTACGCCGAAATGACTGTGGGTGTTTATATAATGACTTGAAAATCAGTATATGCTTATCACAGTGCTATTTTGGTTACAGCTCATTAGGGTATCAAGGATCCAGGTAGATAGGTCCGCTCTTCCCTCTTGTCTGAGGCTGTTATCTATGTGTTTATTTCCTCATGGTCACAGGATGGCTGCTGTGACTCCATGTATCACCATGCAGAAAGGATGGAATCAGTCACATGCGCTCTTTTGGCCAATGCAGTGAAAAGTTTTTCAGATGCCCCAAAAGGATTTCCTTCTTAGATCTTTTGCTAACATTGTGTGTCACAGTGGCTGCTAGAAAGCAGGCTTCCTGTATTGTAGGAGGCTGCAAAGGTTACGGGAGGTACAGGCGGCATCGAACTGGCCCGATGTGGAAATCGTGCTGGGTTTGCTCACAGAGCCGTGGAGCAGCAGAGGTGACTCTAACCGTGTGTTTCTCCCGGCAGGGGCACGTCTACTCGCTGGGCATGACCCTTTACTGGGCCGCAGGATTCCGAGTCCCGCCAAGCCAGGTCTGTGGACAAGGACACCAGGTCATGCCTTGGGGTGACTTAGTGACCCAGTTAGGGCTGGCAGGTGATGGGAGAGCCACTTGGTGGCTTTGCTCAGCGGGAGCAGCCCCTTCTGAAGCCAGGAGCCTCCTGGGGAGTGGGGTTCCGTGGCCCTCACATGTGGGGGTGCTCCTTGCCACGCCTCCCTTTGGGAGACTTTGCAGAGTAGTTTCTAGGCTATGAGAAAGCTGAAAACATAAATTTAAGCTTTGGTTAGCACGGCGATTTACACAATTTCAGACTCTGTGTGTGTAGATTTTCATCTCATGCTGTAAAAACTCCTTAGAAGCCAGCACTACAGAGCCCATGCAAGGGAACCCGGCCCAGCTCCGAGACCGCCTTGTCCTCCTCCTCTTCCTCCTCCTCCTTCCCTCTCTCTCTCCCTTCGTCCCCCAGCTCTCGCCACGCCAACATCCCAGCGATTTCTGAAGCCTCGTTGGTTTGTTTCTTTATTGAGGCAGAGTCTTACTGTGCGGTTCAGGCTGGTGTTGACTTCGCTTTGTAGCCCAGGCTGGCCTCTAATTCACAGTGATCCTCCTGCCTCAGCTTCCCGAGTGCTGGGATCGCGGATGTGCACCACCACACCCAGCTTTGGACCCTCCTTAGCAGAGACCCGCTCACCGTGCCCCCCTGAAGCCCTGGCTCCTGCCCGCTGCCCTCAGGGCCGCACTCCGGCATCTCAGCCAGGCTCCAGAGGCGCCCAGAATGGCTCCTCCTCCTGCCCGGCTCCTCTCCGGTTCTCTGCTGTTCTTATGGGTCCCTGTCGCCTGTGCTCTGTGCTGCTCGGCTAGCGCCATCCTGAAACCCCACATCATTTGGATCTGGAGGAGGCCCCACATGGTCCTTTTGCCACAGGCCGTGGTCCTGCCCCTGATCCTGCCCACTGCGGCTGCCTTGGCCTCCTCCCTCCCGTCCCGCTCTTTAAAGCTCTGTCTGTTCTTGCCGGTTCTGTGCTTCCCATCCCTGTGAGGCAGGGCGCACCTAAACCAGCTGTGCAGGCCAGGGTTGCTGGCGCCTCCTCTGCTGCATGAGCAAAGGGCCTGGGGCAGCTCCCTGGAGCCCTGCGGGGCGGTCCTGCTGCACGGCAGCTTTCAACATGGCCTGAGTGGGGGAAACGATCCGGTCGTCCGCATTGTCACCCTCTTCCTCGTTGTGGTTATTATTTGTGATGCTGGGGCTGAGCCCGGGCCTTCACGCATCTTGGGCGAGTGCTCTGCCCCTGAGCTACACCCTGGTGCTAACAGCCTGGCTTTCTCCCTGCCTCTGAGACCTCAGTGGCAGCCACTTAAATGCATGCCACTTGCTTGCCCCGTGCATTTGACATTAAGTGCAATGATGGCACCTGTGCTGCTTCCGGTGTCCCCAAAGGGAAAAGGCCCCAGTCTGGGCTTGTGACCTGGAGCTCGAGGTCCAGGGCAAGGCTCCATGACACCCAGCGGAGTCACTGGAGAAAGTGACCCCTAGGTGAAGGGCAGGCCTCCGGGGTGACTGGGTGGGTACAGAGGAATCTGTCTCACACCTGCTGTCAGGCTGCAGGATGTCTGGGGTCAGAGAGGGGGGTGTTGTGCCCAGTGGGTGCAGGGACTGTCACCCTGCCCGGATGGCCTCAGTGACAGCCTGGTGTCCAGCCGCGCTCTCCAGCAGGGGCAGGTGTGGGTAGGACAGTGGCCGAGCACCAGTTGTCTTGAGGCTCTGACAGCTTCTCACCCCTGCGACCCCTGCGCCCACAGCCCCTGCGGCTTCACCAGCCCCTGCATGCCCTGCTGCTGGCCATGTGCGAAGACCAGCCCAGCAGGCGGTGCCCACTACAGGCCATCCTGGAAGCCTGTCGGACCCATCAGGAGGCGGTGGCCGTGGCCCCACTCCTTGCCAGCCTGCACGTGCGACAGCTGGTGGGCTTAGTTCTGGGCACAATCGCCAAGGTGAGGACAGAACCCAGCTTCTCAACCCAGCAGCCATGTGGGCCGATTGAGATTGAAACTCAGTTAGAATTCAAATGGATAGAATAATAATCGGGGTGGGCGGAGCTCAGTGATGAGGGCGTGAGGGCCTGGGTCCATCTCCTGACAGGAGAGAGCAGTGACATCCCTCACTCCCAGCTCCCTTTCAAGGGCTTCCACAGGGCGGCCCAGGGCAGATATGGCTTCAGTGGGTTCCTTAGAGCTGACCAGGAGCCTGGGGTTCCTGTGCGGGTCCCCCATTGGGTTGAGCAGAAGTGGGGAAGGGGGCTCAGCTGGAGGCTGCCTCCCCTGGCCCCAGAGCTTGGCACAGCAGTGGCTTGCAGAAGTTGGTGAGCAGGGTAGGCACACGGGGTGGGCACGAGATTCCCTGTGAGACAAGACAGAGGGGGCCAAGCCGGGGTCCCTTGGCAGCTGTGCCTGCCCAGAGATGTGCTGGGGAGAACAGGACAGGTGCCGGGGCCAAGTGGTTATAGGTGCAAGGACAGCTGGGTGGCATTACCGACCTTCGTCAGGATGTGGCTCTCCCACCTGCACCCGCATCAGACCTCCTTCACGCTTGGATGTGACCGTGCTGCATTTACCTGATAGAGGTCACAGCCTGCCGTCCCACAGGTGCCTTGTCCTTGAGAGGGCGATGCCAGTCCCTTCCTCAGCAAGCTGCAGGGGGAGGGGCACAGAGGTGAGGACAGAGTAAAAGTTAGGGTGGCCAGGGCGGAGGTGCAGAGGACCAGAAAGGGAGTCTCTGCATAGAGGAGCTTGGGACGGGGGACGGCCTGGAAAGGACAGATGGCAGTGTGGGGACAGATGTGCCCGCCTGCAGGGAGGAGCTGCAGGGTTCCTGCGGGTGCGGCTGCTGCCAACACAGCTTCCAGCTCTCGATGACCTAGCAGGGCAGGTGGTCTGTGCGGGCCAGCATGGGTGCCCCTGTGACCTGGGGTTGCCCATGCCTGATGCCCCCGACCCTCAGGTGGAGAGAAGAATGGTGCGGGAAGACATCTGTACGCAGCAGGGCAGAAGCTGCCTGCTCAGGAAGAGGCTGCAGCCGCCGAGTGGTGAGAGGCCCGAGGTTCGGGCCGGGTACCACCTGCAGCTCCACAGAGGTGAGTCCTTGGGGGGTCTGGAGCTCCCGGAGGGAGGGAGCCAGTGTCCATCCCTGACCCCTGCCCTGGTGGGCTGGATGCTCCATGTGGCAGCTGAGAAAGTTCCCGGAGAAAGGGGGCTGATCTCGGGCCTGCAGGGCAATTCTAACACTTTACCTCTGGGTTCTAGCCATGTTAACTCTTTCTGTTGAAGTCTGACTGTCCAAGTAGATGGGAGCAGACTAAAACAAGCAAGGAAAGAAGAAAGCTAATAATTACTTTCCGAGCGTCTTGGTAACTTTCCTCTTATTATTGAGACAAAAAACACTCATGCTTAAGATTAGGAAAGGGAAGGTTTATTTCTTATAATTTTGGAGGTTTTAGTCCATACTCAGTTGGCTCCAAGGCAGGGTGGCATGGCAGGCTGCTGCCCACAGCCCGGGCAAAACAGCAGGAGCGAAACTCACAAAAAAGAAAAAAAGTCACACCTCCTTCCTGCCCTTATAGTTTATGTCAGCTCCGCCCCTGGGCGGGTGCAGCACTCACACCACCAATCCCAGTGCCAGACAGTGAACCAATCATGAACGCTGGATTCAACCACATCCATGATTGCATGAGGCTTGGTGGGAGCCACTAGACACAATCCATAACACAAAGGGAGATGAAAAGTAACTTGTGAAAGTTTTGAGAAATATTTTTGTTACTGTGTCAAGTATCTTAAAGGAGTGACTTTTAAAATAACCTTCAGTGAGGAGATGGATGCCTGTAATCTAAGCCGAGGCTGAGGCAGGAGGATTATTATGCAGCCTGGGTTACAAAGTGAGTTCAAGGCTCCCCGAACCAAATAGTGAGACCTTGGCTCAAAAACAAAAACAGAAACGGACAGATGCCTTCAAATCTTCTACTGGGCTCTTCTCGTCAGCTGGATCTGAACTTGCTGCCCTGCCCCTTTCTTCCTGTCCTCCCTCCCTTTCTTTCTTGGTAAACTTTTGTTTTGCCGTCTATAACACAGGGTGCCCCAGTGCTCTTTGCCACTGGGCTTCGTGTTCTCCGACTGCTGCTTTCAATCTCCCTGAGGGACGCACAGCTCATGAAACCACAGTGTCACCCAAGCAGCCAGCTGCCCTTCACCCCTACCCACGCCTCTACCATGCTGTCTGGTTCGTTTCAGAGCGAAACATGGAGGCGCAGAGCTCCGGGGATCCCCACTGGAGCAGCTCAGCACACAGCCCCTGCAGCCCGTCTGAGAACAGGTGAGCCTCCAGGTGACCACGGGGCGGGGACCAGTGGCACCTGGAGCCATGCAAGTCCTGCTTCTTTGCTGGTTACTGCTGAGAAGCTTCTTGTTCACCAGCAAATCCCAGCGCTGTTCCATCAGCAAAGGGAGAAGGCGTCAGGGGGCTCTGTGGCAGCTGTGCTGCTGGGCACCTGTGTACCCCCGGAACCTCACTCTGGCTCAGGGACTGAGTGACAGCCTCGCTGTGGAAGTAGCTGTCTGTGGTCACCTCTGATGACATGGCCAGTGGCCAGCAATCCCTGCTCCCTGGGCCCACAGTCTGCAGGCCGGGGGCTGGCTCTGCTTGTCCGGAGGCCTCTGCTGTCCACTGGGTGCTATCCTGGGTGCTATCCAGCTGGTGGCTTCGTGTCAGGGAACCCTGGCCTTTATCAGTAGCCGGGCTCGGATTGCTATCAGGATGGTGACAGAATGGGGGTGGGGGAGGGAGGGCAAAAGGAGGGGGAAGAAAGGAGAGAGGGGTTCAAGGGCTTCCAGACGGGGTCTTCACCACCTCCACCCCACTGCATTGGCCGAATGAAGCCTTGGGAGATTCAGCTGAGCCAGGTGTGGTGGCACATATCTGTAATCTCAGCACCTCGGAGGCGGAGGCAGGAGGATTGCTTTCAGTTTGAGGCTAGGCTGGACTCTATAGCTAGATAGTATCTTGAAAGCAGCCAACAAAATATTTGGCCCAGAGTCACAAAGTGCGGAGCTGGACTCCATCTTTGGGTGGGAAGAGCAAAATTGTATGGCAGGGGCCGGGGCAGTGGCAGGCTGAAGAATTGGGGTGTCCTCCGGTGTTGGATCAAATCCCTCCTGGCCTGAGTCTTCTGGAGCCAGGATGGGCATCTGAGGTTTGAGGACCTGCTGATTCCCATGCTGGTGTATGAAGGACAGTGGCAGAGTCTGTCCCTCTGTGGTCCAGTGGGTCCCTGTGCAGTGTCACATCCACAGCCGGGCCCTGGCCGGACGCTGGTGCTCCCTCTCAGAGATCCTTCCTGCCACCTAAAACCGACTTAGTGGACGAGGACGAGGACAGATCCCTGGTGCCGTAACCCACACATGGCCTCTGTCCTTTATGGTGGGATCTGAGGAGGCGGCGTGAGGTGATTGTGCAAACCAGGTACGCAGTCGCCGGGGTGTGCAGTGCAGGGCAGGCTGTCACTCGGGACACTGATGGCCAGAAGGAGGCACTTGGAAACAGCAGAGAAAATAGTGCATTTTAAACTCATACACCAGCAGCACCGTCGGGCCTGGCCACTGCCCATGGTCGTAACAGCGCTGTGCAGGGCTGCATGTGCTGTCCTGGCCTGTCACACACCTGGCAGCGCGGCGGGTTTCTGTCCCCATGAGTGGAATGTGTGGTGTGCTACCATGTTTCCGGGACTTCTCCAGCTCCATCGCAGCACTGTGGGGCCCTGGTCACTCATGCAGTACACTGTTGACCAAAGCGTTGTCACCTGGCGCATGGCTGCATATTCACTGTCAAAACGTCTTGAAAGATACATAAATTTGAGGGAAGGAAGTCAGAGGCCCTGGTGTTTCCACGATGCACTCACAGGCTACCGGGGACCTGGGCCATCGCACCCAGAGCATGGAGGCAGAGTCCTGGGGTGGGGAGAAGCAAACACCCGAGGGTGCACGGCTTTAACTTCCTCTGGGCTTGATTTTTCCACCTGGAGAGCAGGCACGGTCCTCCTTGGGGATGGGGAACCCACTGGTGTGTGTGGGGGGACGAGGGCGTTGAAAGTGGGTACAGCCTGCCCTGCCGCGTGCCTGGTGCAGTGGCGGGGAGGGGGGATGGGGTGGGTGTCAACACCTTAGCTCCTCGCCCCTCTGCCCACCCCAGTGCTCTCACAGGTGCAGCGCCCCTTGGTGGGCAGGCCGGCCAGCGGCTCGGCTCAGGGGCCGCGCTCCGGGCGGAAGCAGAGCACTCGTGGTCAGTGACTCGCCAGCAGGGTCTCTTGCAGAGGAAGGCAAAGGTGAGCAGAAGAGCCCTGGGGGGCTCTGAGGAGGGCTGAGCAGGGCCATGGTGCCCAGGAGGAAGGTGGGCAGGGTCCTCGGGGACCGGGCCCCTGGGCTGCTGTCCACAGCACAGGTGACCACAGACCTGAAACATGCAGTTCCTTTTGGTGCATTCCAAGCGGCCTTCCTGGGATGGGCTCTGCCGTCTATGCCTTGAGGACCACAGGCTGGGCTGCAGGCTGCCTCTCTGTGGCGGTGCAGCTTGGTGCACAGGGATGCCCCCAAGGCCACCTGTGATGACCGTGGCACGGCCACAGATCTGGGACAGGTTGGCCTTCTGTAGGTAAAGGCAGTGGAAAGGGGTGGGCCCCATTGCTCATGGGCAGCCACGCTCGGCACAGGTGTCTGTGCTGCAGGCGGGAGCGGGCAGGCGCTGTCCGCGGCAGGCCATGCCATGCGGTGTTTAGAATGAGGCACCTTCAGAACGGGCAGTGCCATGAGCTGAAGCCCACAGTGACCACGAGGGATTGGTGCTCCTGAAGCGAGGAGGAGACCCCTCTGCCTCAGAGTTGCCCCTCCCCAGCCTCTGTGTCCCCATCCAGGACCCTCCGTGACCTCAGACTAGAAGAACCTGCTTCTGTCTGCCTGCTCTTTGCAGGGAGGTTTGCTTCTTAACAGACCAGAGCTGAGCAGAGCCCCAGCAGCCTCAGGATGTCCCTCTCTGTGTTCCCAGATGCCCAATCCTGTCCCCTGCTGTCCTTGATATCACTTTGACCATCATAAACCTGAGGAGGGGTCCCCAGGGGTTCCTGGTGGCCTTGAGATGCCCCAACCCTGGAGTGAGGTGCCACGGCAGGGGGTGACAGCTGCAGCAGGGCACAGCTGCTGCCTCTCCTCTGTTTATCATCCTCTGGGGACTGCAGGACACAGCTGAGCCCCTGGCAGGGATTTTGACTTTTTGAGACAGGAGCCCCGCTGAGTGCCCTGGGGGGCACAGCAAAGTCTGAACTGGACCCTGTCTCTCCCTGGTCCTGTGACTGCATGAGCTTTTTATTCTCCGGGAGCCTTGATCTCCGAGGCTGCAAAATGAGCTGAGCACACGGGCAGTGGCCAGGCTGAGGACCGATGACCGGAGACGTCTTTTCTCTCTTGGTCCTGAGTGTGACACAGAAGGGCTGAACCATGACGCCCGGTCAGACGCTGCCAATGGGCAGAGTCAAGCTGGCACCCTGGGGGAGCAAGCCTGCTAACAATGGAGTGGTTCAGTTTTCACGCTTTTTATTGCCTAGTGTCTATTTCTACAGTGTGTTTTATGCCCAAAATACAGACTCAAGGTCACACTGTGCCGTGTGACTGAGAAGCCGCCCAGGAGGACACTGTCCTCCTCGCTGTGTGCCTCTCGGTAGCTGGGGCAGAGTGGTCTCCTTCCCCACCCGGACAGCTTCTGCTGGGGACCATGGCTTGGCCTCAGTGACACCTGTCTCTTTCTGGCTCTATGGCAGAAGGCTGGATGGGGGAGAGAGACACGCTCAGAGGGGAAGCCCAGCTCCAGCCTGGAGCCGTCCTCTCCTGTCCAGTCCGTGACTGCCCGTTTCCCCAGTTCTCCAGGCCGGAGTTCCTCCTGCTGGCTGCCGAGGCCCCGGTGACGCTGCACCTGCCCGGATCAGTTGTGGTAAAAGTGATGGGGGGGGGGGGATCGCCTAGCTAGAAACCCTGGAGAGCCCCGTCTCCCTGGGACCTGTGATGGCCTTATTTTGAGCTCTCTGGCAGGCACCAGTGTGTCAGGTCCCTGCTGTCCCTGTCTGGGCTGAACCGTAGTCCCAGCAGTGTGGTGCAGTGGGTGCCCCTTCCTGTCTCCCACTTCTGTCTGGTTACCAGCCTGATCATGCTGCAGGCTGGAGCATGGCCCTGGCAATGGCTGGCTGCACCCAGGTCCTGGTGCCAAGCCCAGGATGACCCTGCCCTCACAGAGAAGTGCAGAAGGTGGCAGGCAGCCTCCTCTGGCTCAGCCTGAGATAAATTGATGCTTTCCGTAGAACTCTAAGGATTGAGGTGCCCAAAGCTCAGGGATTCTTGACCTGTGCAGGTGGTAACAGGCGAGTGTGGGACGGGCTGGAGGCATCATGATGCACTCTGGGGGTCCACAGCCTACTGGGAGCTCTTCACACAGGCCCTCAGGCAGAGCTGCAGGGCAGTGTCCCCGGGGGCTCTCCCTGGTCTCTCCCTGGCCTCTCCTTGTTCCCTGTGTGCTGGATCAGTGCCTCTTCTGCTGGTCCCCTTTGACCCCCTCCCCCCGTCCAGTCCTCACCAGTCCGCATTACAAGCCCGTACTGGGTAGGGAGGAAGGGGTGACTTCCTGGGGCCCCTTTCTGCTTCCTGGAGGTTACACGGCTTAGGGGACTGCAGACTCCTCCAACATGGGGGCAACTTCTGCTCCAACAAGGATGCTGGGGCCGTGCCAGTGGTGTTGTGGGGCTCACCCCATCCCTGGCAGGCTTGGGAGCAGGCACCAGACTTGGGAGCCTATTTGTAATCCATAGAGGGGCTCCTGAAGCCTAGCATGTATGCAGAGGGCTCCCCCAAAACAAGACTGCTTGGACCTCTGCGCTTAACCCTGTACCCGGATTCCTGTGGTTCATGGCCCCAGCGCCTCTGCTTGGACTAGAACGTCTGCTGTCTGTCCCTTAAACCCTGACGTTGCTGGTCTGTACTGCCCCTCCCCCCCAAGTCTTTTCCCTCATGGCTGTTACATCAGTCACTTTTCCTCTGCCGGGATGCCCACAGCTGGAAGGCGAGGCTTATGGGTTCATGGGCTCAGTCCATGGTCAGTTGAATCCAAGGCGGAAACATCAGGGTGGAGGGGCCTGGCAGGGGACAACTGCTCAACCCATGGCAGCCAGGAAGCTAAGGGGAGGGAAGCGCCAGGGACAAAAATACGCCTGCCAGGCCACAGCCAAGTGACCACCTGGCACCAGGCCCCACCTCCCCACAGCACGTTCAGCTACGAATGCATCCATGGAGGAAATCACTGAGGAGTACAGCACCCCATCCACTCACCTGTCACATGCATGAGACTTTTGGGGGGCATTTTAGATCCCAGCCGGCACAGGGGTGTCTCCAGAGGCTGCGCAGTACCAAACCTCAGTGAGACGCATGCGCAGTGAGAAGGACCGCTGGGCGCCTCCTTGTGGCCGCCAGAAATAAATCAGTTTCTCTTTGCTCCCAGCGTGGCTGTCTGTCCCAGGAAAGGGGCTGATCACCTGATTTACAGGTCACTGCCCATGCTCTGTGTGCAAAAGCAGTCACCAGCCGCCTAAAATATAACCTTTCTCTTTTTCTGAGGTCTTTTTGTCTCATTCTTTTTCTCTCTTTCTTGAAGTGTCATGGCAGTTTTCTTTTGTTTTTCCTCCCTTGGGTGTGCTTGGATTTGAATCCAGAGCCCCTACAAGCAAGTGCTGTATCACTAAGCTGCATCCCAAGCCCAAACACGGTGTATTTTATTTGCTATTTAATGTCACATTCCTTGGCACTGGGTAAACAGAGACCCACCCATGCCTCTGGATTCTTGACCTGTGACTCATGCTCCCCTCCTCCAGCTGCTGAATCCTGACTCAGGCCCTAGGCAGGGGAGAAAAGTCGAGCTCCCTTCCCATATCTCTTCGGCCCCCATCCAGACAGACGTGTTCCCTGAAGCACCCTAACCTCCTTATGGAGGAGCCCTGGGTCCCTGGATTGGGAGTGGGGGAGACATTTGTTTATGCTAAGTTGTCTATTGAAAGAGCTGCTGCCATGCCCACTCTGAGATGTTTTGGGCACCTCTGCCTGTGCCAGCTTTCTGCACAGGGTACAGGTCGGAGAGAGTGTGAGCTGTGAGCGCCCTGGGTGGAGGGCAAGAGACTGCAGTGTGAGCAGGTGGCCGGCGCAGCCTGAGAGTCCAGGGAACAGAGGAGCTGGTGGTCAGATCCCATCCCAGGGGCTGGCGAGGCAGGACCACGGGGGGCTGGAGCTCCCTGCGAATGTTCCATTGTGCTAGCAACTGCACATAGAAAATGGGTTTTCAAAGACAGGGTTATTAGGAACTTCCCGGACCCAAACATGGTCTGTCGGGACACAGGGTCCTCTGTGACACATAGCTGGCCAGTTACCTGCTCTCTCAGGGTTTCAGCTCTGCCTACACACAAGTGTCACCTTGAGAACACTAAAATACTGGCTCCCAGGCCTTGCCCTAGACTGACGGAACCATCTCCAGAGTGCACCCCGAGTCAGCACCTTAAGCCATCCCTCAGGTGTGCAGGGGTTAGGGTGAGAACCGGGGTGTCTCAGGTGTGCCCATGTGACCAGCCTGCTTGAGTCCATGTGAGAAACCCCCTCCCATACAGTCCACGGAGCTGAGCTTGCTACCGGAGCATGGCAGAGAGCCAGGTCACCTCCAGGCTCTGGCTGTCACTAGCTCTGCAGCCCCAGGCCAGTCCCTTACGCCGTCTGACTGCGATCACAAACAAGCTCCTCTTAGGGCTGGTTGACAATTGAAAGGCCACCTGCAAAGCCCAAGTTCAAGGCTCAAGGTCTCAGCTGTTGTTACTGATGGCACCCTCGGTGTTTTCAGACCAGAAAGGGGAAGTCCTACCTGGCTCTCAGGGACGTCTGTGTGGTTCTGCTGAGCGGGCGGTGTCTGGAGGTGAAGTGTGACATGGAGTCCACGGTGGGAGCTGTCTTCGATGCTGTCGTGTCCTTTGCCAACCTTGGGGACGCCACCTACTTTGGCTTGGCTTATGCGAAAGGTGGGTGTCTCTGGGCAACCACCCAGTGCTGGCTTGGCGGCTCCAGCACCCAGGTATGCAGTAGCTGAGCTCTGTCCCCTCTGGGAAAGCTGCTGGAGCCCAGAGGACCTCCTTTTGCACACCAGACATCAGACAGCTCGGCGAGGGCGTCAGGTGCTTGTGTGCAAAGTGTCAAGTGGGTTTTCATGAAATAATGAACGTGGGGCTCTGGAGGTTTTATGGCTTGCAGGTCTGGATGATCAATCTCTGTGCAGAGACGTCCAGCAGGCAAATGTTAGAAAGTTTCTGTTTAATCTGCAGGACAAATGGCACTCAGTTCCCAACCCCAGGAGCCTGTTAGGAACCCATTTCAGCCTGTATTTCCTTCCCATGGCTGCCTTTCCGAGAGGAGGCTTTTGATTTTTCTCTACTGTAGCTGACGTCCCTTGCCCACTGTCTGGAGAGGCTACCGAGAAGCAGGCTGGGCTGGGGTTTTACAGCCTCTGAGTTATGTCCTGGCTCTGTTCCCCTGTTTAGCTGCCAGAGGCTCTGGGACCTCTGTTCTCCTGTGAGTGCAAGAAGCTCGCAAGGCTGTGATTATTCAGTGTGCGGGGCTGGCGGGGTGCCCTTGTCTCCCCATACTTCTCATCAGCTCTCCCCAAAATGCCTCTTAAAAATAGGGAAGGAAAAAAAAAGACAGGGAAGGACAGCTGCTATATGCCCGGGATTAGCAGAAGTTAGTCTGATCTTTTATGAGGGACGTACAAACGCACGTCCAGGAAACGCCGTGGTTTATTGATCTGTAGCGTGCAGTCTAAATAAAAACTTCCCAAGTACAACCCTGCTGCTTCTTCCCTTTGGTGGCTGTCCCAGCCCTGCTCACGTGGGTGATTTCTGAAGCTGTTGAGCGAGGGGCCTCCTGGGAAAATCCCTGAGAAGTGGCCAGCTTCAGGTTGGACACAGGCCACCAGGGAAGGGTTTGCCAGCGGTACTATGTTTGGGGCCTATCCATCCATGGGGGAGAAGGATCTCCAAGGGGGGGGGTGAGCCTGGCATGGGGAGTCAGATTTGGCAGCAAGGGTAAGGGCAGAGGAGGGCTGGGCAGTGTGAAGGGATGGCCATTAGAACTACCCGGACGCTCGCCTGCCCTCCAGTGAGCATAGGAAGAAAGGCCACCACTCCGGAAGTCCTCATGGTATGGACTGGGCGGCATCCCGTGCTTAGGCTGCCTGCCGTAACACACCTGCACTCAGGAGGGGGCGTGCTTCTGGGGTGCTTTGGCACAGGGCCAGGGAGTGGCCGAGGGTGCGCAGACCGTGGGAGGGACACACTTTCCAAAGGTGCCAAGGCAGGAGTTACCTTCAGTGGCTGAGCTGCTGCCACCTCTCCCTGAGGAGGACCAGAGACACCTTCAGTGGGAGTTGAAGGTTTAAAATCAAAGGGCAAATGTGAGTCCCCTTACACCCAAGCCTCATCAGCTTGGCTGTCATCCTAGACCAGGTGGCCTAAACTATTTATTTCTCACAGCCGTGGGGGATGGAAGCCCAAGATGTGGCTGCCAGCTGGTTTGACTCTTGGTGGGATCCACTGGCTTGCAGATGGAAGCCTTCCCGTGGGTCCCGTGGCAGAGGGACAGCTCTTCGGTGTCTCTTCCTTCATATGAGGACACCGATCCCATCCTGGATCTCAATCTCATACCTCACGATCCCACCCTAAGGTCTCACCCCCACATCCCACCCTCCGGGGGGCAGAGTTTCAGCACGTGGATTCCCGGAGGACACAGATGTCCAGGACAGGCTGGGACTGGTAGGGTGGGGATGGTCCCAGCAATGCAGAAGGGCTTGGTGTATGCCAGGGGTTTAAGAACACTGTTTTCCTTTCCTTTTTTGTCCTATCTACAAAAGCTGACAGCTGGAAAGCAGATATTGAGTGACATCTTTCTGATACAAACACTTTGGCGTCTACAGGGGTTCAGTTCCAGGGCCCCCACGAAATGTGCTCAGATCTCTTATATAAAACTGCATCGTATTTGCATATGAGCTGTACAACCCTCCTGGCCTTCTTCTGCATGTTTAAAACCATCTCTAGATTACTTAGACTACCTAATGAATGGAAATCCTGTTTAAATCAGTGTTAAACTATATTGTTTAGGGACCCATGATCAAAGGTTTTATACATATTCAGTGAAAAATTTTTGGTACTATTTCTGATCTGGGGTTAGTTGGGTCTGTGCATAGAGGTGTGGATATGGAATGTGGTCATATTTTCTTCTCTTGATACCAACGTTTTCTCCTTAATAAAATTCCTCTGGCTCCTGCTCTTGGCCCTGGGGGCCCCAGCAAAGGCCTTTGGGGACCGGGATGGCGGGGACTTCCTTTTCTTCTCCTGTACTAACATGGCTCAATCCGACCCTTCCGGTAGGACTCAGGGCTGGAGTCTGAGAGCTGGGGTGTTCCCCGCTGCTTCTCCCTCCAAACTCTCTGTTTCCTCCTCAGGCAAAGAGTTCTTTTTCTTGGACAATGAAACCAGATTGTGTAAAGTAGCCCCTGAAGGCTGGAGGGAGCAGTCCCTGAAGACATCCACGGTTACCTTCACGCTCTTTCTGCGGATCAAGTTCTTTGTCAGCCACTGTGGGTTGCTCCTGTGAGTGCTGCTTCCTGTCCCCTGGCTCCTTGAGACCTTTGTGTCTGCCCAGGCTGATGTCACAGACCTGTGCTTTGGGAACTACAAATTGCATGCAAATGGCTGCAGGGACCGTGGCTGGTCTTCTGTCGGTGAGATTCTGGTGTGACAGAACGGGGAAACCAGTACCTTGAGGCAGACCCTGATCACCAGGAGAACTTGCCCTTGTGTTGCAGACAGTCTGCTCAAGGTCAAAGTTTTCTCTCCTCCACCCAGCATTTCCCTCCTCCCTCCAGCACGTGGCCAGGGTGAGAGGTGGAGTGGGTCGCCACCCCTGGATTTCTTTGCTTACACAATCCTGACCATGCGGGTTCCCAGCCTGAACCACAGCAGGAGACCTCTTGGGGGTGTTGCGTGGATTTTTTGACACGGGAAGCAGGTGGAGGAGACTCACTATTCTTCCTGACATTGTCCGTGGGGCTCCTTGGCTTGTACCCTGTCTCGTGTCCTCTCTCTCCCGCTCCATGAGCAGGCCGCATCGTAGGCTTCCCCCCACCCTCGGCATCAGCACCTCCATGCCAGCATCTCTTTGCCAGGCCCAGCTTGACCAGGCATCAGTTCTACCTGCAGCTCCGTCAGGACATCCTGGAGGAGAGACTGCGCTGTGATGACGACGAGACCCTGCTGCGGCTGGGGGTCCTTGCCCTGCAGGCCGAGTTTGGCAGTTACCCGAAGGAGGTAGGGATGGTAATTAGGGTTTTTGGGTGGGGATCTGGAGAAGCCACTGCAGGGTCCGGGTGACTGAGAGTGATGTGGATATCGTGTCTGAGAAGTGTCGCTGGCATCTACCACCAAGACTGAGGTGAACTGTGTCAACCCATTCACTTGTCGCCGTCACCCATGTACTTACTGTTGATTCATCCCTCCACCCACTCATCACCCATCAGCTTATCCACCAGCTCATGGATCCATCAATCCATCCATCCATCAACCCATCTGTCAATCTCTCTGTCCATCCACCAGTCTACCCATCCATCCTTTCATCCACTCGTCACCTATTGGCTTAGCCATCAACCCATGGATCCATCAATCCATCCATCTATCCATCCATCCACCCATCATCAGTCTATCTGCCCATCAGTCCATCCATCCATCCGTCAGTCTATCTATTCATCCATCCATCCATCATCTATCCATCCATCCATCCATCCATCCATCCACCTACCCATCTATCCATCCATCCATCTACCCACCCATCCATCCATCCATCCATCCGTCTACTCATCCATCGTCCATCCATCCTCCACCTACCCATCTATCCGTCCATCCACTTACCCATCAATCCATCCATCCATCCATCCATCCATCCATCCATCCACCTACCCATCTATCCATCCATCCACCTACCCATCCATCCATTCATCCATCCATCCATCTGTCTACTCATCCATCAGTCCATTCATCCTCCACCTACCCATCTATCTGTCCATCCACTTACCCATCAGTCCATCCATCCATCCATCCATCCATCTATCCATCCATCCATCTGTCTACTCATCTATCAGTCCATCCACCCATCCACCTACCCATCAATCCATCAATCCATCCATCCATCCATCCATCCATCCATCCATCCATCCATCCATCTATCCAACTTCCTATCCATCTATCCATTCATCCACCTACCCATCCATCCATCTGTCTACTCATCCATTAGTCCATCCATCCATCTAGCTACCCATCAATCCATCCATCCATCCATCCATCCATCCATCCATCCATCCATCCACTTACCCATCCATCCATCTACCCACCCACCCCTCCATCCATTCAACTATCTGAAGATTTATTATAAGGAATGACTCACTGTTTTTTTTATTTGATTTTTAATTTTAAAAACAAAACAAAAGATAGAAGTGGTTGACTCGCTGGTGGAGGCAGAGTGCTCAGCAGCCCTCACCAGACACAAGCACTGGCACCTTGAGCTTGAGCTCAGCTTCCAGTCCTGTGAGAAATGGGTTTCTGTTTTTGTTAAATTACACTCTCTGTGGTATGTTGTTAGAACAGCACCAAAGGACAGAGACACCTGCATTCGAGAGTCCTCTGCTTTACTCAGGCTAGCAATTTTAATGTTTTAATGTAGCACAAAAACAACCTAGAAGCTCAGAATGTTTGGCTGAATGTCTGGGCATCCTGCGGTCCAGTCACACTGACACATTAAATTATCCATTACCAGGCTGGGGCCCCGTGGAAGTCCTGCTTCTGGCTGACCTCACCCTTTCTGTCTCCCTCTGCCTGACCATGTCCTCCACCCCAGGTCTACCGAGTCCTGTCGCTTGGTGCCTAGGGCAGCTGCAAGGTGCTCTCTTCTGCCCCCTGGTGGCTCCTAGAGCCACATTACACTAACTCACCCACCTGTGCCTCTACCTGCAGTCTACCTAAGGAAGGCCCACCATGCATGGTGAGACCCTGTGTGTATCCGTGTGTGGGCAGGAGGAGGAGGAAGCCCACCCGCCCAGTGTGGGGTGGTTGGCGATGCTGCCTGTCACATCTGGGAGGACCAGTGTGTTCCTACGGGGCTTTTATTTTGTTTGATAAGTGGTTTTGATGTTAGGGTAAAAAGATTTGAAAACCATTGTTAGGAAAGACTGAAAGCCCCTGAAGAATTTTAAGCAGGGAAGTAATGATTGCATTTACATTTTAAAAAGGATGACAAAGACAATGTAGTATAAAAATAAATCTCCTTAATCACATCACCATGACAGAACAACCTTCCTCTGGGCGCATTCTCGTCGCCTGTGTGGTTTTTACATAGCTGCAAACACTGCCAGCCTTGGGCTTGTGTTCTGTGCCTCCCTTCCTGATGTGATCCTCTGCGCACCTCTCGGTGAATGCCTGGAGAAGCCACGTGGTTGGCTTCCAGGCCTGCGTCTTCCCTGACTTCCCCGTGTTCTGACTGTTATTATCCTTGGAGCTGCCTCTGACCTTTCTTGTAAGTTGATGTCCTGTGCCTGGCGCTCTTCTAGTTACATTCTAGTTTTCCTGCTTACATTCCTAGCAGCGAGCTGCTGGGCCACAGATCCTAAATGCTTTTTCCCCTAAATATTTTAATAGGCTTTTATTGTTCCACAGCACGTGATAGTCAGTGCTCCATTGCTGTAACAAAGCTGATTGTCCTCAGCTTACAGTAAGGAAAGATGTATCTCAGCTTATGGTTTAAGTGGTTGCAGTCTGTGGTTGCTTGACTGCATTGATCTGCGCTGGTGACAAGGCAGAGTCCAGGTGGGGGGTGGTGTGGTGCAGAGCTACTAAGACACAGAAAGAAAGGAACTGGGGTCTCAATAAACCTTCCAGGGGTGCCCGAGTGATGGAACTTGCTTCCACTGGTCACCGCCTCCCAGTAAGTGTCATAGACTGGTGATCAGCCCTTTAGTGTATGGGCTTGTTGGGGGGCCATTTAAGATCCAAATCTTAACAGTTTTAGGGTCAACAGCAGAATCAAGAGGAGGGTGCACGATTTCCCGTATCCCCAGCCCTACATATATGCACACCCCCCCCCCCACTGTACTATAAACATCCTGCTCCAAAATGCACATTTGTCACCATTGGTGACCCTACAATGACCCATCATATCACCCGGAGCCCACAGTTTACACTGGGCTCACGCTTGGGGTGAGACATTCTGTGGGTTTGAGGAATACGTGCAAGGCATGTGTGCCCCATTGTACACGCAGAGCAGGTTCACTGTCCTCAAAGCCCCTGTCGTCCGCCTCTCCTTCCCTCCCTTCCTCTACGTCCCGGTAAGTACTGAAGTCTGTCTCCCTAACAGGATGCCATATAATTGGAACCAGACAGCATGTGGCACCTTCAGACTGGCTTCTTTCATTTAGCGATCTGCATTCAAAGTTCCTCTGTGTCTTTCCATGGCTTGCGAGCTCGTTTCTTTTTGGTGCTGAATATTATTTCATTGTCTGGACGCACAGCCACTCAGCTACAGGGCCCAGCTTCGCTGCCAACTTTTGGCAATTACGAATAAAGTTGCCACATCCGTGTGATGGGTTTTTCTAGACCTGGCCTGGGCCAGGACCAAGCTGGAGCATGGTGGGAGTGTGGTGGTCACTGTGCTGTCTCCCTTGGGTCCCCTTCCAGGCTGACTCACCCACCCCTGTGTGCAGACGGCTGGATTCTCCTGGCCTCCTGCTGTCTTCCTTATGGGCAGCTGCCCTCCAAGCTGGGGCCCAGGGTTGGCATGGGCAGGCTGGCCAGACGTCCTGACCAGGACAGGCTGGCTCAGGAATACCAAGGCGGGCTCAGCTTCCCCTCTGCCCAGCCTCACCACCTTCATTCTTTACAGCGGGCCCTGAGGCATCTCCTCCATGAACCCAGCATGCTACTGTTTGTGTTTGGAATGTGTGCTATGGGACAGTGGGTGACGGTGACCTTCCGGTCTCCCAAGGGTGCTGTGGCCTCTGCCTCTAAAGAGCAGGCCTGATGAAGGCTGAGATCTGGGGTTGCATGGAGGGGTCTGGGTTCCTGTTCTCAAACTCTGTGGGTAGAGATGGGGTACAGCTGAGACCTTCTCGTAGGAGGGGACCACGTACCAGGGCCCGTGTGCACACAGATGCTATATGATAACAAGGGGCAGAGCGCTGGGGTCAGGGTTTTGCTGTGCCTTTTGGGGAGTGGCCCACCATGGAACTGCGTAGGGATTTGCTTGTTTCTGTCGCTTACCAGTGAGGGGACCTTGGCCTTCCTGCTCCTTCATCTTGGCAGGGGCAGTGATGCTGCCTGTCTCACAGGGTCTCTCTGGGGATCCAAAGAGCCTGCTGCTTCTCAGAGCCCCCGAGTGCAGAGAGGGGACCTAAAAGCAGGTGGCTCCTTCCACATGGCACAGAACTTGGCCCCACTTCTCAGATGGTAGAAGGTGCTGTCCCCAGTGGGCACCTCCAAGGACCTTGCTTGCACAGAAGCTGCTCTGACTACAGACCTGTTCCCGTCCTATTCAGAATACCACGAGGCGTCTGGTTTACGCTTCTGTCTTCTGCATCCTGTTTCCAGCAGGCAGAGAATAAGCCGTATTTTCAAGTTGAAGATTACATCCCTCCCACTCTGATCGAAAGGATGACAGCTCTCCGGGCCCAAGTAGAAGTCTCCGAGATGCACCAGCTCAGCTCTGCGCTGTGGGGAGCAGATGCGGAGCTGGAGTTCTTGAGGGTAAGGCCCGGTGCTCAGGGGATGCACCCAGTGATCCCCAGATGGGATGGCGCCTTGAGGGCAGGAGGAAGGATGCTTCCCTTATCCCAGTGGGCAGGAAGAAAGTGGAAGAAGATGGCATTAGAAATGACCCTGTATCAGTCAGCTCTTCCGTGGCTGGAACAAAATACCCGAGAAACACAATTTAGAGGAGGAAATGGTGTATTCGGCTAATAATGTCTGAGGTTTCAGTCCATGGTTGGCTGGTTTCAGCCGAACATCGTGGCGGAAGGGTGTGGTGGAGGGGGCTGCACACATGAAGTGTGACACTTCATGACTGACATGTTAGTGAGGGGTACACCCTCCACAGGTACACCCCGCCCCATGACCCACCTCTTCCAATGGGGCCCCACTTCCTAACAACGCATTCAGCTGTGAAGGTCAGTGAATGAGTCCACTCCAGGATCTCTTAACCCAGTAACTTGAGAATTCAGATTAACTGACAGGGCCCACAGGTGAGTAAGATTCAGGGGGGCAGAATGGGGCGCCTGGAGCCTTTCTTCAACTTTAGAGCATCATCCCCACCACTGTTGTGCGAGCAAGGACCACATTTCTCAGATTCCATGTAGGACAGCACTGAGGGTGAGCCATGCCAGGCCCCTGGGGCACCCTCACTGGGTGGCCTCCGGCAGCCGTCCGGAGCGCACGTGGGTTTGTGTGTATCTGGGTACAGGGAAGCTGCTCTGTGCTGTTCTCTCTTAGCAAAGCACCTCCAGCAAAAGCACCTCCACAGGCCCTGTCCACAGGCACTGCCTGGGCCACTCCACATCCTCCCCTCACGGTGGGCCAGGCCCTGCGGGGAATGGACGAGAAGCTCATGTCCCCTGCTCCTCCTGAGTCCCCACCTCAGAGTGCCAGGGCTGTGTCAAGTGCTCAGGACAACGCCAGTCACTCCAGGCTTGACCAGGGCAGGCTGGCTGCTCTTCTTTGCAGACACAGCCGGGAGGTGAGTGAGGGGGACCCCTGAGTCCCCAGGATATACAGACGGGCTTTTAGACTTGAGCAACAGTTTCTAAAGGAAGAACAGGGATTTACACATTTCTGTATTACAAAAGCCTCCCAAGTTAGGTAGAAATATCCTGACCATGCTGTCTTGCCTTTAATAGAGAAGGGCGTTTGGAGGCAGTTAGCAGGTGAGGCTTGGCCTTTTCCTTTTGGCTGGTCACCAGCAGGCCCATCCCACCCCAGTGTGGATCCAGCCTGCGGGCCCATCATGGGGGAGGTGCAGACAAATGCAGCCTCGATGCACGCGCTAGCCCAGCCTTCATGTGTGCGCCCTGTCAAGAGGACGGAGCATGTCCCTGATGGGGGACAGGGGGGATTTTAAAGCCTTCTTACAGCTGAGCCTCACAGCCAATGATCCCACCTGCAGGAGACCCCCTGGGGGATGACACTGCTCACGGTCCCCTCCCGTGTCTTGCCTACTGTGCTGGCCTCTGTTTCCAACTCCTTCATAAAAGGGTGAAAGGCGATTGGAAAAGCCGCCACCATCTTGGGCAAAACAGCTGAAACCTCTCCTGCCAGCCATCCCTGGAGAGCGCAGAATGGATTTGAGCATCACAGGGTTCCCCTCAGTGGCCTGGGGAGAGTGGCTGATCTGTCCACTGCCTGCCCTGGGCACAGGATGGGTGGGTGGGGGGTTTGCTCCAGGGCATGCATTCACCCTGCTGTTTGTTCCAGTGGTCCATCCGTCTGTCCGTCTGCATTCATATTTAAAAATGGCTTATATTATGCATGTACTTTTATCACACATATGTCACTAAAATTTTGAAAAGTAATTTTGAAGCAATACCTAGCAAATTAAAACTAATCAAAATTTATACTTTTCCATTGCATAGCAGACACACAAAATCTATATGCATCCATCTAATGTATATGAAATACATGCAAAACCTGTACATATACACCTACTACATATTTTCCATCAATGTTCTGTTATTCGACATGCAAACTGCCTGCAGTACAGGGCTATTATGAACTCTGCGGAGATTAGCATTTTCTGACATGAATTGTTAGCTGCGTTTCTGCTTAATTCGTTAGGGTAGGTCCTCCCAGGTGGACCTGCAGGCTGAAGATAACGAGCAGGTTAAACCTTATCCTTACAAATGGTATTTAGGACTTGCTCTAGAAATAGCCACTGGATTATTTAATTATAGCTCCATATGGATCTTCCATTCCATTTTGAATAAAAGGAGCCCATTCTCCGGTGGCAGCCTGCTGGCTGGATCACAGGTCCCTGGCTCTGCCCAGACATCAGCACGCTCTGGAGCAGACTGGGCAGCAGTCCAGGCGGGTGAGGCTGGGTGCCCTGCTGTCCAGAAGACTCCCAGCTACCCGAGCATGTCAAGCCAGGACAACCTGTCCAAGGTTAACTCGCTGCTTTTTGGATTTCCTCAACCATGGAAGCATTTTCCCACAGGACTCAAGATTGTGATGTTATTAAATCATTTATTTTTCTGCTCGGCTGTTAAAATTGTTCTGGTTGCATCCTGTGTTTTTCCCTGATTAGCATTATACATTCCCCAGCTTTGTGAACGTTCCCTGTGAGAGCGGCCTGAGAGTCTACCTTATTAAGCTTCTGCTATCTTTAGGAAAAAATTTACCGTGGAGGAACGCATCTCCCCACTGGACTTCTGCAAGTCCGCACCGAACAGGATTAGAAGGATTTGTCCTGGCTGTTGAGCATGCATTCTTAAGACAGATCCTCAGAAGTAGAATTTGAAAGTCAAAGCTATGAATCTTTTGGTGAATATTCTTGTATTATTTAGTTTTCTTGTTGCTGGCAAAAACATCCAACCCCTACAAGTTAAAGGGAGAGAAGTTTAGCTTGGCTCACATTATAACAGGATTCAGTCCGCGGTCACCCAGCTCCAAAGGAGGGACACCATAGCAGCAGGGTGTGACGGAAGGAAGCATGCCCATTTCATGGGAACTGACTGCTCTTCCAGTCAGGAGGGCTGCTCCAGAGCCACAAACCCGGGACTAAGATGATTATCAACTGGACCCCAGCACCCCACAGTCCCTCATCAACCTGCTCTGTTGCTTTGGAATGAGCCAGTCAGATCCTCTTCCTCGGAGTGCCCTCTCCAGCTACTCAGCTGGACTTCTTATCCTGTCTTCCGTCAATGTCCAGTTCAGTCCTTTTGCCTGAAAATTCATGGTGTCACTTTGGTTGTTATTTCCATTGTCATGAAAGCAGTCTGCTCGGGCTGGTGACATGTAGAGAGGAAACCAGTCAGTACCAGTCAGGCAGGATGAGCAGAGAAGCCACCATGGAAGCCCTACGGTGAACAGGGTGTGGGAATAGACACTGCTGCTTCATTGTTTACAGGTCCAAGGTGCCCTTGATAATATTATGCACATCCACCTCTGCTTCTGGTCTTTGTATTTTAGTTGTCGAGTGAAGACTTGGGAGCAAACAGACTCATGTCCTTTCCACTCCTGGATCTGAGATGAAACTCGGGCACGTTCCTTACATCAACACAATCTGTCTCCCAGACATATTCTGTTTGTCCCTGGATATTTGTATTAAATCCAAGCATCTAAACATTATTTCATTACAAGACATTGTTCTGAGGGCCTGAGGAGGTCCCCCAAAGAGGTGATGGGAACCTTAACTCATCACACCCATGGAGCAGGTTAAGGTCGTTGACTTCCGTCAGGGGTGTCTTAGTTACTTTTTTCATTGCTGAGACAAAATGCCCCACACCCAGAGTTAAAGGAGGAAAGGTTTATTTAGCTCACAGTCTGGGGAGGTTTCAGTTCATTGTTAGCTGGGTGGACATTGCAGAGGAGAAACTGTTCACAACAGCTAGGAGGTGACAAGGCAAACAGGGACCTTGGCAGCATTTATCTGTCCTTTGCATGTTCTATTTAGAATATAAAGATTATGATGGTACCAAGTCAACCAGTAGACTGACTTAATAATCACCCACCCTTAATCCTAGCATTGCGCCATGACTCAATCATGTACTCTCGATCCAGGCACCTCTGAAGAGGCTCCCCCATGACCACATGAGGCTTTGGGGGGCCATTGGGACACAGCCATAGCAATGGGAAAGCATTCAGGATGTGCAGAGATGGGGTTACTGGGCAGAATTAAAGACGGCAGCAAGTGGCTCTCCAAGGAAGAGGGGCCTCAGGTTGGGGGTGGCTCTGATTGTGCGCTCTTGGGGAGGGAGATCTGGAATTTGTGAATCTATAGCAAAGGGAGAAAATCTCCAGGGCTCAACTTACAGGTAAAAGGTGACGGTCCATTCTATAGATGAAAGACGTGTTTTACAGAAGGCTATATACACAGGCCCCTCAGCTTGTATTTCCTTAACAAAGATTTAGGGATTTGAAAGTGAGTATCCTGGAAAGGAAAGACAGTTGTAACCTTGGGTAGCTTTGTGTCCCGAAGCAGTAGTTTTTCTAAACAATTTAAAAATTATGATTTTCCTTGTATCCTCTCTGTCCAATTTTATTTCCTCTGTCCTACCTCATTTTGCTACATGCAGTAAACGGCAAATGAAAGCATTATTTTCAAATTGGTGGAGCCACATAGGTTTGGCTCCCTGTGATATATAACACTGATGCCACCCCTGTCGTGGCTTTGCATTTGCCTTAGAGTTGTCCCAGTAGGACTCCACGTGCTATTGGAGATGGCATGAAAGGCAAATTGGCATCATTAGGGTAGCAGGAGCGTGCTGGAAGCCAGGGGCTTGGAGTCGTTCTCCACAGCCAGAGTCCTAGTGCAGGGCAGAGTCAGGCAGAGCTGTGCATTGCAAAATAGGCAGGCGAGTCTGGGCAGGACAGTCTCCAGTAATTCCCAAATAACCAGTAGCTGGTTGAGGGTATCATACGTACTAAAACCCTTACTGCCCTCTCTTGAGCCTGGCTATGGTGGTACTTGGTTTTGTGACTACACGAGACTCCGCTTGTGAGTAAAGACCTGCAGCTGGAGGACTCCAAGCGCAGTACAAAACCGTGCTTGAGTACTTTGCAGGGATAACTGGACATGGGAACCCCCCTGAGAGATGAGGTTCCTGGGTAGCAGTGGCCCTTTCTCTGTGACTTCCACAGAGCCTGAGCATAAAACATGGACCCAGAACACACAGATCGTGTCGACTGAAGAATTCACCTTCAGGGACGGATTGTTCAGTTGCCACCATGACTTAATCCTCCTCTTCCCTATTTCCTTCTGTGAAAAAGACAGCGAAACCTGTCTCTTATGATTATTATGAACACTAAATAACAATGAAATAGTGTGTGGGAAATGCTTATAGGACGTTTCATCAGTTTAAGAATCTAGGGATTTCCCTACAACCGATGTATCATATTCCTTTTACTAAAATTAAAAAATAAACAAGTTAATACAAAGCTATTTTAGAAGTAAGGGAGTCTAGCAAGAGCCTCTGTTATGGACTAAAAACTGGTGGTCAGTGTAACACCAACTGAATTAAACCAGCATGATGCTGAGTATAGATAGATGTTCCAGCTGAGGAAAGCTGCCAGTATAAATAGAGATGTGGAGAAGGGGAGCTAGGCGTTGTGGGTTTCTCTAAGTGTTGCTGTTTGAGCCATTGGTTCTCCTGGAGGAGCTCGGCATGACTAGCTTCCCCAGTGTGAGTTCGGCCATTGTCATCAGAGGAGCTCGGGGCCTTTGTTGGTGAGAGTGGCTGTGGTTCACTTTGGGGAGCTCTGGTCCTTACATCGAGCATCGCTTCCTGGCTCCGGAGGGGAAGATGTGTGCTGTTTAATCTCCAGGACAAACTCTCATGCTGGCTTTCTGACATGTACTTGACTGTTCTTATCGATGGAGGACCTCGGGGCCTCCATGTTGCTGAGGTCGGCCGTGATGCTTTTCAGGGCAGCCCTGGTCCTTGTTTTGAGTGTGACTTCTCAGCTCCCGCATAGAACCCTCATCCACCAGCACAGCTCCTTCACCCTGCTAACATAGACTTTCTGGCTTCCGCCACTGACCTTTGGGCCTCCCCAGTGCAGCTCCATAAAACAGACCGTGTGAGTCCTTGTCATGGGCTCTAGACCTCCACTTGGACTTGTGGGAGGCAATGTCACGGGCTCTGTGTCTTCATCTGGACTCATGCAGGACATTGCTGTGGGATCCAGGCCCCTGGCTGAATATTCTGGGTCTTCAGTGTTGTGGACAGATTTCCTGTGCTTTCTTGCATTAACTCTGGGTGACCATCATAAATAATATTATAAATTCTGCACCCTGATTCTAACTGTTCTCCTCACAACCTCTGACTATAACAGCCTCTTTATTTCCATATTGCATGGTTACATTAATGTTTTAAAATAATTTTTTAAAAATATCAAACCAAATTCTTTAAGAGCATTTACCTAATTGTTTTGGAGGTGTCCCTGACCCCTTCCAATGCTAACCACATGCCCATCCTGTCCTTGGATCTGTCAGCACAGGTGCCCAGTAAATCCCATTTTAGTGATGATGACAGCGCGGATGATGACAGTGTCTGGCCTGAATTAAAAGGAAATGACTTGGTGCCCAGAGTGTGACCCACAGTGTATGCAGGCAGTGCCAGCTCCCTGCAGAGACGATTTGTCAGCAGGCGGGGAGGGGTCAGCAATGAGCTTGAGAGAGATGGCGAAGGCTGTGATTTGTGACCATGCTGGAGGTGAGGGAGATTGGCCAAGAAGTGGGCTCTCTGCTGGTGGACAGAGATGGGGGACCAGATCTCACCAAGGAAACCCTTCTGAGAGGGGTTGGAGGTTCCTGGGGTAAGGTGCCCACACTGTGGTTCCAGGTGCATCCTTCCGATGAGACCAGGAGCCTTCTGGGCAGAGGGAAAGGGGAGAGTCCAGGAAGGAGTCGTGACCGCCACCCAGACACAGCAGCCTCTGTGCTGGGTTCATGCGGCAAACTCTAAGGATTTCATTATTTGCTGAGTCTGCAGCTCTGTGGCTGTGGGCGGACCTGGGGCTGTGCGAGCCCCTCTAAGCCTTGTACATGGCGAGAAGGACGTTGGACCGTTAGACTGTGATGCAGCTAGAACATGAATCCCCTCTCTGAGGTGTCCCAGCAGAGTCTGAGTGCTAAAAAAGCTTAGAGTAGAATCATTCTACTGTATCATACACATAAGAACTGTGCTCCAAGGACTTTAGATAATCCACAAATAAAGGATTCCTTGGGTTAAAAAAGGAAAGAAAAATGCTCACAATCAGGTGTGGACTCATTCCACAGACAGAATCTGCTTAGCCAAGAGTCTCCTGAACTTCTTTCAGAAATGGCTCAAATGACTCCACGTGACTCAGCCCATTTCCCTGGGGTAGTTTGAGGCCCATCGTCTTAAATTGGGCTGCCCTTGCCTCTCTCTCCTACCTCGGCCTTTTTTTTGTTCTAGGTCACTCAGCAGCTCCTGGAATATGGGGTTCTGATTCACCAAGTTTTCCCAGAAAAGAAGAGGCTGGAGGAAGAGATGGCCTTGGGGGTCTGCTCCAAAGGCGTCATCATATACGAAGTGAAAAACCAGAGCAGAGTTGCGACCTTATGGTTCCCATGGGAAGAAATCGGAAAGATTTCGACTTATGTAAGTGTGACCCCGTTGATCAGTGACCCCTGCTTCTGTGATCAGCTGCCTGTTTAATGGAGCTCCAGGCCATGCGGCTGTCTCCTGGCCAAGCGTGCCCACAGCCTGGCGTCCGTCTCTCACCCGGGCTCTGAAGCACTGGGGAACGTTGAGCAGACATCTGTCAGGAGGTCTGGGGAGGCGTCCAGGAGATCATGTCTCCTACTGTCCCCTCATGGGCATTTGTGAGGGCCATCAGTTAGCCATCAGTCTACAGGGCAACGCTCTCTCTCTCTCTGGGTCGTTTCCGGAATCTGGGGACCCATCCACGTGGAGAGTGAAGCTGGAGGAGGGGAGTGGGTTTCAGGGGGCATGTGGTCTCTTGGTGTTGAGATTTCCCTTGCACTCAGTGTGCCCACGTGACTGGTCTGTCCCCTTGGACTGAGGGTTTGCTACGTCAGGTGGCCATTGGAAGTTCAAAGGCCTTTAAAAAAAAAGAAGGTCCCTAATTAACGTGCAATGCTTGAAGCCACATTTGCACACTGTTTGGAAAGTATTTATGCCTCCTGAGTGCAGTTACAGCCCGGTCAGCCCTGGCGCCCTGGTAGTGCTTTCTCTGCCTGTCCTGGGGGCTGCCCAGGTCAGCACTGATGTCCTGGTAGTGATTATTGAATTTGTAGTTTTTATTTTTGTTGGTCTATGTTTGTGGCATGCAATGATCACATTCTTCCTGGGGGAGTTGGCACAGATACACATTCAGTGATGATTTTAAGGCAAAATTCTATGACTTTGGCCAGTGGAAAAACTTAGTTTTCTGTTTAATTCTCTCTTATTTAAAATTTTTTCAACTAACTGGATCATTGTTTTTATTATTATCTGATTTAATTTCTGAAGCAGAGTACAGTTGTTGTTTTTTCTCTGAATATTTTTTTTTTGTGCCTTCCATCCTGGCTTTTTAAGTTAATATACAGTCAAAATATGATTTGCAATGGAATTTCCCAATATTCTCACTTAACAATTATGTCTAAAAATAGATAACAATGTAACATAATCTGAGTTCATTGAAGTGGCCTGCCTGTATATTATCAGGAAACTGATGTTTCATCAGACTTTTTAAAAACTAAATTTATATATAAACAATATTTATGCTCATAAAATTTTCAGACTTTTATTTGGATTACTGTAAGAGATTTGAAGAATTTGAAGCTTTTTATTTTTATTTTGTTTAGTTCCAGGAATCAAACTCAGGACCTTGTGCTTGCCAAGCAGGTGCTTATGCCGCTGAGCTGTGTCCCTGGCCCGGAATGTGAATATTAAAATAATCCAATCCTGATTCATTATTTCTTGTATTCTTCACTGCATGCTTCATAGTTCAAAATTTTAACATCATTTATTTTAAAACATTTATAAAACGCAGATACCTCAAATAGTAATTTAAAAAAATATAATTTTTTAAAGCTGAAAAGTTCAATAGTCCTTTTATGGAAGTGCTTTTCAATATAAATTAGTTTAATTTTTACAGCTCTTTAATTTCCTCACCCCCAAAGAGAATTTCTTGGGGTGTAATCATGCTCACAAGGCAGATGCAGCGCTTTATAAAACCTGTTTAATTAGGGTTCCCTCCGCTGGTGTTCGGCTGCTTTCTCGCTGTGAATGGCTCACTTCAAGGGACTGTCATCCCACGGGCCTGTCCCTGGCTGCTCACCCCGACTGGGCAGCGGCTGTAGAAGCCCCTTGGACCTTTTATACTTCTGCGAGCACAAGCTCAGGGCCTCTGGGTAACAGGAGGATGAGCACAGGAAGCCAGTTCCAATTTTGTTTATCAGCAGCAGAAGCCAAGATGCTTCCAGTGGTCACAATTATTCATCTTGCTGGCCTGCACGGAAGCAGCAGGACAAGAGGATGATGCCACCGTCAGACAATAGGATTCTCAGGTGTGCTGGCAGCTACAGCCCAGACACGTGGCCTGATGATTCATGGAAGTGTCCCTTCCAGAGCGAGGAGCCCAACCACATTGGTAACCATCTTGGTTGTTAGCACTGGTTAAAATCTCCAGCGAGAAATGCAGGGTTCAGTGGAGACACATGTGCAGGGCATATTTAGGGAGAAGGGTACCAAGGCAGGAGGTTGGCAGGTGCCAGGTCGACCTGGGGAAGCTTAATGACTCAGAGAGAGAGAGAGTCCTCTCAAAAATGAAAGATAAAGATGCCTGGGGGAGATACTCAGTGTTAAGGCCCTGGGTTTGATTCCCAGTATCGAAAAACACCAAAAGGATACAAAGTTACGGACACAAACTGCCCCACGGGAGGGAATACTTATTCAGAATGAGAAAAAAAGGGCAGTTTAGGATTTTAAAAGTCTGAACAAGAACTGGACAGATCACAGCAGCCAAAAAGCACCTTTTATTAACTCGCTAACAAGTTACACCTGTTATGCTTTACTCCTTTTCAAAGTTTTGACAGCGTGTTCTTTGGTTGTCTTCTTCATGGGAAACACTTTTGCAAGAAAACTTTCTCTAGGGAGAACCGAAACACATTCAGCCTTTCTCCTGGTGTGGCTGCGTGAAAGTTGGTTTTATTCTGGAGAGCGGGCGTGAAGCAGCTCTTCCTGGTGTTTGCTGTAGGTTTCTTTGCTACAAATGCAGGGCGACTTTTATTTATTAGTGCGCGTTTGGGGTACATTTTTCATCCCCTCCTCCTCCCTCCATCTCTTGATCCCTATTTTCTGTTATTGAGCTCTTTCTCTATAATTTGGCTTGTCCATATACAAGAAACCGTGTGATATTTAAGCTCATGTGTCTGATTTATGTTACTTAACATTGTGCTCTCAAAGTGCATCTGGTTTCCTAAATGACTCAAGTTTATCCTTCTTTAGGGCAGAGTAGTACTCCAGTGTGTGTACACCACAATTTCTGATCCACTCATCTGTTGGTGGGCATATAAGCTGCTTCTAAGATTTAGCTTTATGAATTGTGCTGCTATAAACATGTATGTATCATTGCAACGCGATGTCTTTAACTCTTTCAGGAAGATACTTAGAAAGGAAATAGCTGGGTCAGTGGAATTTCTAATTTAATTTTCTGAACAATCTTCATACTAATTGCTATAGTGGTTGTACTAATTTGTACTCCTTCCAGCAAAGTAACAGGGTTCCTTCTCTCCCATCACTTCAGTGGTATTTGTTATTATTTGGTTTTTTTGAGGATGCCCCTTCTTTCTGGGATGAGGACATTTAAAAAAAAGTTATGTGTTTGTGTGGTTCTGGAGGTGGAGCTCAGTGCTCTCCACCTGGTAGGTAAGCGCTGTACCACTAAGTTACACCTCCAGCCCCAAATGCAAGAAATGTAGCGTGCATTTTGTGTGATTCCCTTTAAAAAGGGGGAAAGTCCTATGCTGTGTATTGATAATGAGCTGTGTCCAGTTATAGAGCATATTCTTGATGGGACAGACCCTCACTGATTAGCTGTTCTTGAGAACTAAATGACAGTTTTCATGTCTGACGATTGCATCAGTTTTTCCCCAGAGAGCTCCTGGCTCTTTGTCTCTCCTGCTCCTTCAGGGGCTGGGCACTGTAGGGCACGGTCAGTTTCCTAGGTTGCTGGCTCTGTACGTGGGTGAGCTGGCTCAAAGGAAGGGGCAACAAAGAAATCATTGCAAAACAGACCGCATGATATGCAGATCCTTGTAAATCTAAGCCAAACGCAGCCCCATCTCAACCCTCTCCTTGGGGGAATCTGTTCCCGTGACACCCAGCACTAACCACCCTGCGTGTTAGAAAGGTCCCAGAGACCTCCCATTAGGTGCTCACAGGCTCTACCAGTCCCAGGAGTGGCACCCTGGGGGCCAAGCCTGTGACATGTGGGCCTCTGGTGGACATTTGGGCTCCAAACCCTACCAGAGGGAAAGGGGAGGGCAGGAAGCCAGGGGCTTGGCTGTGGTGACTGGGATCGGGGTGCAGGAGAGGTTTGCACGAGGGCTGAGCACCCTGAGTCTGGAGCTCCTCATGGTCTTGTTTACAGAGCAGCTTGCATGCGGGCAAGTTTGCCTGCAGATACGAGTTTCCTATTAAGTGATGTTGTCTTGGTGCTAAATAAAAGCCAAATCCACTGCGAGTGCTGTGTTCAGTTTGCTTTATCTATTTATAGACAGGGTCTCACTGTGTAGTTCAGAATGAGCTCACTAGGTAGCCCAGGCTCACATTCATCTTACGGCAACCATCCTGCCTCAGCCTCCCGAGTGCTGGGTTTACAGGTATGTGCCAGCCACCACGCCTAGCTCTGGTTTGAAGTTTGTGCCAAGAAATAGCGTGTTTATATCTCTGTCTGGCCTTGGTTCCTCAGGGTGCTGTTCTGCGGAGAGTTTCAAAGAAACCTTGCTCTGTGTGTGTGTGTGTGTGTGTGTGTGTGTGTGTGTGTGTGTGAATGATTCTTTCTCTTCAAATTTGTTACAGTTATTACATTTTTGAAAGCAACTTGGTTATATACAAATTTTACCACTGAACAAACTCAATAGGAAAACTTGCAGCCTGTGTGAGAGTGTGGCGGTGTGCCCTGCCCAAGGGTATTAGTGTCATAGAACTCTGGCTTCCTGTGTGCCCATGGGCAGGGGACACGGGCAGGGTACCAACCTCTGTGTCTGCTTCCTCCAGCGAAAAAAACTCACCATCACCAGCAGCCTCACCGGGAAGAAGCACACATTCGTCACGGATTCAGCCAAGACCTGCACATATTTACTGGGCCTCTGCTCTGCCCAGCACGGCTTCCACGCGCAGACAGGCTCCGGGCCGCCTCCTCGCCTCTCAGCTGGTGAGCACACGCTTCCACGTGGTCTTCCTCCCACGAACTTATCGGTGTGAGCAGACAGAACTGTTAAAAAGTTATAGAGTGTTAGACAGAGCTACAATAACCATGAAGTCTATTTTTTCTCGGATTGCCAGGCGCTATTAAAATCAATATCCATAGCAAAACCATGCCATGGTCCCCGGGTGTGGTGGGGTTAGATATCAAAAGCCTTGGAAAAGTTTATGTTCTCTTGCCCTGGTCGTTTTAGCTATAGACAGATATTTACTCCACAGTCATAAAAGCAGGGTGTGGATGCTGTTCGGGGTGTTCCCTGGAGAACTGCTGATAGCAGGGAGCATTTGGAAGCAATCTAAATTCCTCCAGTGCAAGACTAGTGGACCCCATCGCAGAACATCTGCAGAGAAAGTGGGTTTTGCAGAACGCTGATACGTAAAACTGCGCATGCGCTAACACCAAGGGAGCGGAAGCAGGGTCCAGCTGGGTCCAGCTCGGTCTGATGGAACATTCTCTCGGATGGAGACGTTCATACCCTTTGGTTCCGGGGGCCACCAGCACCATGTACCTGTGCTGGTGGCAGCAGCAACCAAAGAATTAAATCTGTGATTTTATTTCATTTTTAGTGATTCATATGTTTTGAGTTTTATCTTATTTTTTCCTAGCGCATGTTCGCAGCACATCAGGATTGCATTCCTTGTGGGGGCTGGTCTGTGTGCATAGCGCATCTTCACGCTCCCTTCCCCTCCCCACTCCTTCCCAGCTCCTTTCCTTTCTCGGTCCCCTGTCCCCTTTGCAAAAGACCCATCGTCCTATATCCTGTTAGCTGGTTTCCATTTTTGCGCTTTAATTTATATTTCGGGTCTGAGGTAAGAGAAGCCAGGTGATGTTTAAGCTTGATGATCTGAGTGTTCCTCATGGAACACAACAGACTCCAGGGGCCTCTGTTCTCCCACAGATGGCTCAGCCTCATCCTCCTTTAAGGCCCAGTGGCCACCTGGGCCACCTGGCCTGGACAGCTCAGGTGCACCTGGCTACTATCACGTGTTGTAAACAGGAAAGAAAACCAGAAAGGAACAGCCCTGGGACGGTTATTTCCTTGGGGAGTGCGGCTGCCAGCATCTGGTCTTTGCTCTCGCTTACATTTCTCAGTGTTTATTAATCTTTTAGCAGTGGACATGCATCACTGGCCTAATTAGGAAAGACGCTATTGGTTAGAACATGGCCACGCATCAGACCATTTAATATTTACGCGGGGAATGCCAGGGAGCTGTCTTCCCTTGTTGTTTCTGTCCCCCTCATGTTGCACTAAGTACTGATGCGATTTGTGTTCAAAGGCACTGTTTTCTCAAACTCCAGTCGCCCAGCAGCCTGACAGGCTAGAAGCAGCGTTATGGGGAGGAGCAAGCGGGGAGCCGGGGAGCTGGCTTTTTGCCTGTATCTGGGCGCTGGGGCTGAGCCTTGTGCCTGCCTGCTTTACCCCTGTGCTGTGGCCTCATAATGTGCATGGACTTCAGCTTAGGGAGACTTGGCTTTGGGTGCTAACTTTATCATAGGTGCTGTTGAGCCCTGAGCTCATTTCTTCCTCTGTCGTGAAAGTGCCCTGTGCGCACTGTGGGGAGTGTGTGGCCCGCAGTGTGTGTGTGTCCCTGGGAGCTCGCTAAGCATGCAGGAAGCCAGCCCCACTCCAGATCTGTGGGGTCCGAATCTGCACTGGAGAAAGGGCCCAGGTGATCTTAGTGTCCCTAAAGGTTGGAGAGGGGGTGGCTGGGACAGTGGCTGTGGACGCCAGTGAGAGCCTGAGTACTCTGGCCAACAGATTGTGCGGCTCGCCAGCGGGGCAGCGTGGGCCACAGGTCCAGCTGCTGGGCAGCGGGCCCACCCATGGGGGCTGGTTGAGTGGCAGCCTAGTCCACTGGGGGTGATGTCACAGGTTCTGAGTACCAGCCCATGAGCTGACTGGGAACAGAACCGCTGAGCATCAGATACAGAGCTGAATGCAGAGGCCACGGGCAGTAGGACCAAACATGCCCAGACGTCTCAGGGGCACACCGGGAGCTGGCACCAGGACACCACCTGGGAGCTGCGGCTGGAGCCGAGATGGCACCTGACCGCCCTGCTGCTGCAGGACGCAGTGCAGGGCCCCATCCAGGGGGCTTTTGTCGCTGATTTCGTGGCCCCAGACATCTACAGACTGCTGAGCCCTCTTTCAAAATGAGCCCTTCCTGCTCCGTTTTGTTTGTTTCTTAGTTGCAAACGCCACCGTCTTAGGAGTGTTCGGGAATCTAACGGAAGGACTCGCATAGGTGATGGCGATTTCCTTCGCCTTTAAAGACTTTCCACCAGGGAGCTGATGCAGACAACACTTTCTCTTACCCTGTTTTCAATTAGAACATATTTGCAGGACACACTGCCTGCGGGCATTGGGGGGTGCTGGTACGTGCACGTCCTGGACCCCATGTGCCCCCGCCCCCATCTGCCACAAGATTCCCCCTTCCGTTCACCAAGGATCTGTCTCTCTCTGTTCCTTTAATCTTTGCTTTGGCACTTTAATTTACTTGTACTCTGGGTTTCCTATGTGAGAGAAACCTTGAGCTATTTAAGCTTCCGTGTCTGACTTCTGGCTCTTAACACCGTGGCCTCGAGGTGCATCCATTTCCTACAAATGTCTCAAGCCTGTCCTTCTTCATGGCAGAGTAGGTCTCCCTGGGTGTGAATACCACGTTTTCTTTCTTTTTTTTTTTTATTTAAGAGGAAAAAGAGAAAAACACAAAACAAACCAAAGCGGCGTAAGGGTACACGCAATACAGAACTACAAAACAAAACAAAACAAAAAACCATAACAGTAAGAAATTACCTGCTAGTAGATTACACACTATTTTCTTGAAAATAGTTCCTCAAATCACAGTATCAAAGAACACAAGGTGGACATTCAAACAGGGAGACTGCAAACAGCTGTGTTCAATGTTCCAAAAACATTGATAAAGTCAGCTATTTAACACCCCCAAACACACTTGCTGTTATATCCGTTAGAGCTCCTTTTCTTTTTTTTTTTCCCTCTCTTTTTTACAACAAAATTTACACATCTTGGATTTTATTACTCCTTAGTGCTTATTACTTTCTTTGGGGGGGGGGGAGAATACAGTCAAATATGGCAAAACAAAGCTGTCAGTCAATACCAAGGATAGACATAGCACATGGTGTAGAACAGAGTACAAGTTTATCAACAATGGTTATCAACGTTGTCCCTTGTTTCCTTAAAAAGAATTGTCTATCTTATTAGATATTATAAAGTTGGACAAAACAGTAGAGAACAAGACCAATAAAACTTAGGCATTGTAAACATTACAGGACTTCCAAAGAAGACAGTAGTCAAACCAGAATGGGTATCTTAGTGAATCTTATTGTCTTCAAAGTAGTTGCCTATGTCTTCAAACTTGATACTATCATATAGAATGGAACAGAGTCTAATCAGTCAAAACAAGATCGTGGGAGTACTACAGGACTTCAAAACAAGTTAATAGGCAATCGAAAAGAGTTACTATTTATATATCCTAAATTTTGAATTTTTTCTTTAATTAAGACAAACATAAGAAATGACTAAATAATTTTTTTTTGAGACAATAAGGGGGAGATTGAGATAAAACAGGACATAACAATATAACAATAGAGGTCACAGCATGACTGTTTCAATAACCTAGTACTTCACCACCTTATAACCTGACTTAATAGTAGTTACCATAGTGTTTTTTTCCTTGAAATATTTGGGTAAAACTTCATATACTCTAGCTTCAAATATTTTCATATCAAGAAGCCCAGAATAAAGCCTTTCTAATTAATGAGTGAAAACTTTATAAGGCTTCAAGGCCACCTAATGGGGAATCATGATTACCACATATTTTTATATATTTGAATCATTACTTACATTAGGGAAACTATTCGGTATTCACACATGCGAGATTGATTTATTTCACTTATGAGTATGGTCTCAAGCTGCGCCCATTTATTGATAAATATCTCAATGTGATCCTTCTTTATAGCTGAATAATACTCCATTGTATAGAAATACCACAACTTTTTTATCCATTCCTCAGTTGATGGGCACTTGGGTTGTTTCCAAGATCTGGCGATTACAAATTGTGCTGCTATAAACATAGGTGCACAAATATCACTGTGGTATGATGCTTTCAGTTCTTCTGGGAATATGCCTAGAAGTGGAATAGCTGGAATAAATGGGATTTCCAGTCCCAACTTTTTGAGAAATCTCCAGACAGATCTCCACAAAGGCTGTACCAGTCTACACTCCCACCAGCAGCGCAGGAGAGTTCCTTTTTCCCCACAGCCTCTCCAGCATTTGTTGTCGGTTTTCTTGATCCTGGCCATTCTTTCAGGAGTGAGATGGTATCTCAGTGTGGTTTTAATTTGCATTTCTCTAATGACCAATGATGATGAGCATTTTTTCATGTATTTATTTGCCATTTGCATTTCTTCATCTGAGAATTGCATATTCATCTCAGATGCCCATTTTTGGATTGGATCTTTGAATTTCGGAGGTCTGAGTTTCTTTAATTCTTTGTATGTTTTAGACAAGAGTCCCTTGTCTGAGAGAGAGTTCACTAAAATCTTTTCCCAGTTTGTGGGTTTTCTTTTCACTATGCTGGAGATTTCTTTTGACATACAGAAACTTTTTAATAAGAAGTGGTCCCAGTTATTGATTCTGGGAAGTATTTCCGTGTGGTTTGAGTCCTGTTCATGAATTCTTTACCTACTCCTATGTCTCCAAGGTTTCTACATATTTTGTCTTCCAATAGATTTAGTGTTTCTGTTTTAATATTCAGATCTTTGACCCATTTACATTTTAATTTAGTACATGGTGATAGACATGGGTCTAGCTTTAGTTTTCGGCAAATGGAGAGCCAGTTTTTCCAGCACCATTTATTAAAGAGACTGTCGTTCTTCCAGTGAACCTGCTTGGCTCCTTTATCAAAAATAAGGTGGTTGAGTGTGTT